TCTCTCCTCTCATCAATTATTGGGCTGTCAAAGAGTTGAAGAAGGAAAATGTACAGTATTGTTGAGACTGAAAAGAAATGGGCTCTCACAGATCGCTGGCAGAAATAAAATTAGCGGAAACTTTCTAAAGTGTAATTGGAAGTAATGTATTTAATTCAGAAATTCCCCTTCCAAGAATTTTTTTCAGTGATTAGATGGATTCATAAAGGTAGAAGTGTGAAGATACATTTCAAATACACTATTACTTATAATAGGGGAAAACTGAAAATAATATAAATGTATAGCCATAGGTTATTACTTGAATAACTCTTACATCCATAAAATGAAATTCTACTCAATTATTACAAATGATACTGTCAATCTATATTGATCAATAAATAGCATGTCAATGATAAGTTGCTACTTGCTAAATGTAGCTTTTCAAAGAACATATCTAATTATGATCCCACTTAAAGATACACATATTTCATCTACACATATTGAAAATAATCTAGAAAAAATATTCTCCAAAATGCTACTAATGGTTATATGTTAATAATGGTAGTGCTAATAGAGTATTGCTAATAGTGCTAGAGGTGGTAAGATCATGGGGTAATTTTTTCTACTTGCTTTTTTGCTCCTGTTTTTTCTACATAAGCATGAATAATTTAAATAATTAAAAAATGCAAAAAACAAACACTTATATTGAAACAGCATAATTTATCACAACACAAGAAGCCTTAGACCAGATACTTATGTTTATAGTTTAAGAGTTCATTGGTGCCACATTTCTTTTCTACTTTCTGACACAGTGAAGCCTCCTATCCAGAATCTCCACAGCAATCTATGGAGGTGCTTACATAGACTTCCAGTTCAGCTCTGCAGAGAGCAGGTGCTTCCATGCTTGCTCTCAGGAAAACATGCAGTGTTGGCATTGTCCCAAACTGGGGGCTTGAGCTTGAAGGAGAGACTGTTTTCAATCCTAAAAAAAAGTTAATTGGCTGTTTCCACTGTTTCCATATTCCTTGATACAGCCTGGTCCTCCTTGTTCTGGGAGGAGAGTTTGGCTTCAAGTTCTTTAACATTAAAAACAATAAAGAGTTTTGCTTATTTGAATAGACACATTTATTTATTTTTCAAAGACTCTTGTGTGCTGTGTTGTTGGCTGTTTTCTTCTTCCTTCTCACTTGTTAGGAAAATAGGTTCAGAGAATTTGTATGATTTTTCCTAAAAGGGAGCACATGAGAATTCAAACTCAACCATTTTTCTTTCAAACCTGAGGCTTTATTTTGTTTTATCGCATAGTCTTTCACATCTGTCATTGAAAGCCATAGTGTTTAAATAACCAGCAAGAAGAGAAAACTTGAGCACTTTTGTTCATAAAATATGATTAATAAGAAATAATAAACAATTACCTCAGAAAATATTTTCTAACTTATTTTTATTTTGCATTGACAAACAGCACAACAGAGATGGGAAAGGAAAGGTGTTCACTAAAATTCACTGAACAGACTATTTTTTGAAAGCTGCTTCTTGCCCAAGAAGATTTTTTTTTCTATCACTGGGCAAATAAAACTGGAATAAATACACTGTGAAATCTACTGATTTTTATGTATTACAGATGATGTAGTAGAAAGAAAACACTAAATTAAAGGAAAATATATATAGTGCTGTAAAGTATACTACTCATCTAATTCATCTGGTATGAATTAGATGAGTAGTATACTACTAGGATTAAGAGTGATAATACGGTGTCTATCTTAAAAGCTAAAAGAAAGGTGGAAATAGTCCACAATATTTGTACATCAAAGCTATATGGCTAAATCTTTATAAAAGCATAATTTGGTGTAATATTTTCCTAATTCTGAATGAGCTTCTAGTGCATTGACATATAACCAGCAGCAGTGTCGTGTTCTATGAACATCATTGTCAAAGTGTCCAATCAATTTGCCTGTATTATGAATCATCCCCTATTCCTGCTGGTTTTCTGCACATCAACATTCAGCTAATGAACTCAAAGTCCATGTTATGTATGTTAATCTAAAATTCCCCTATACACAACATCTGCAGAAATAACTGAATAGGAGAGCATATTACTTTCATGTTTGAAATCCAACAGTTGCACTCTCTGGTTCAATATCAAATGGAGATTTTTCTAGTAGGTAATACTACTTTTCATTACAAGTTGGATCTGACATGTGCTCTTGCAAATAGTCACATTTCTTTTTTCTTGATTGATTCTTAAATGAATTGTCAATGCAAGGTCAATAATGACTCCTCTCAGGTCCTCTAGCTACAGGGACTAGTTAAGAGACTGCTGAAATGCTGATCAATTTTACATTATTTCATTTGTCTTTTTCATGTTATACAAGTTCAGTAACATACAGACCATGAGTCTACTTACTGTTTTTAATGAGTGATAAATATTTGTTCTCCTCAAAATAATGTTTTAAAAAATTTTTTAAAGAAAAGAATTTTAAAAAAGCATATAGTCACCACAACCATTATTTGTGTTTGTTAATCAATCTTTAAGAAGTATTTTATATTAAAAAAAGTGTCTCCATCTTTTTACCCCTTTTGGCCTTTAGGTATATATAACAGTAGGAATCAGAATCCTTGATTCATGACAATATTCTCATTAGTGGTTCAAGCATGTACTTATTTGTAACACTATAAATCCCTCACAAATTCACCATCATCCCCCCAAAAGCTGTTTGACAGTAATGTACATCAAGCCCTGTGTCCCTCACTCCTTCCTCTGCCTTCCCTTACAGAAGGTAGCAAACATTCAAAATTCTACTTTTATTATTCTCTTACTTCAAAAATATGAAATCTGTTCAGCTCCTCTGCCCATTTTTTAATTGGATTATTTGCTTTGTGTTTGTTGAGGTGTGTGAGCTCTATATATAATTTGGATGTCAGCCCCTTATCAGATATATCATTTATGAATATTTCTCCCATACTGTAGGATGTCTTTTTGTTCTGCTGATGGTGTCTTTTGCTGTACAGAAGGTTTTTAGTTTGATATAGTCCCACTTGTTCATTTTTGCTTTTGTTTCCCTTGCCCGGGAGATATGTTCATGAAGTTAATCATGCTTATGTCCAAGAGATTTTTTGCCTATATTTTTTTCTAAGAGTTTTATGGTTTCATGACTTAATTCAGGCCTTTGATCCATTTTGAGTTAACTTTTGTGTATGGGGTTAGACAGTAATCCAGTTTCATTCTCTTACACGTAGCTGTCCCGTTTTGCCAACACCAGTTGTTGTAGAGGCTGTCATTTCCACATTGTATATCCATGGCTCCTTTATCATATATTAATTGACCATATATGCTTGGGTTTATATCTGGACTCTCTATTCTGTTTCACTGTTCTATGGGTCTGTTCTTTTGCCAGTACCAAATTGTCTTGCTTTCTTTCTGTGGCTTTGTAGTAGAGCTTGAAGTTGGGAAGCAAGATCCCCCCTGCTTTACTCTTTCTTCTCAGTATTGTTTTAGCTATTCAGGGTCCTTGGTGGTTCCAAATGAAATTTAGAACCATTTGTTTCAGTTTGTTGAAGAATGGTGTCAGTATTTTGATAAGGATTGCACTGAATCTGTAGATTGCTTTAGACAGGATGGCCATTCTTACAATACTAATTCTTCCTACCAAAGAGCATGGGATGAATTTCCATTTATTAGTGTCCTCTTTAATTTCTCTTAGGAGTGTCTTGTAGTTTTCAGGGTATAGGGCTTTCACTTCCTTGGTTAGATTTATTCCTAGGTATTTTATTATTTTTGATGCAACTGTGAATGGAATTGTTTTCCTGACTTCTCTTTCTGCTACTTCATCGTTAGTGTAAAGGAAAGCAACAGATTTCTGTGTATTAATTTTGTATCCTGCAACATTGCTGAATTCAGATATTAGATCTAGTAGTTTTTGAAAAGATGTTCCACATCACTAATCATCAGAGAAATGCAAATTAAAATCACAATGAAATATCATCTCACACCAGTATGGATGGCCAACATCCAAAAGACAAACAACAACAAATGTTGGCGAGGTTGTGGAGAAAGGGGAACCCTCCTACACTCTGGTGGGAATATAAGCTAGTTCAGCCATTGTGGAAAGCAGTATGGAGGTTCCTCAAAAAACTAAATATAGAAATACCACTTGACCCAGGAATTCCACTCCTAGGAATTTACCTTAAGAATGCAGGAGCCCAGTTTGCAAAAGACATATGCACCCCTATGTTTATCGCAGCACTATTTACAGTAGCCAAGAAATGGAAGCAACCTAAGTGTCCATCAGTAGATGAATGGATAAAGAAGATGTGTTACATATACACAATGGAATATTCAGCCATAAGAAGAAAGCAATTCCTACCATTTGCAACAACATGGATGGCACTAGAGGGTATTATGCTCAGTGAAATAAGCCAAATGGAGAAAGACAAGTACCAAATGATTTCACTCATCTGTGGAGCATAAGAACAAAGAAAAGGCTGAGGGAGCAGAGCAGCAGCAGACTCACAGAACCCAAGAATGGACTAACAGTTCCCAAAGGGAAAGGGACTGGGGAGGGTGGGTGGGGAGGGAGGGATAAGGGGGGAAAAAGGGGCATTATGATTAGCTCACATGATGTGGGGGTTGCATGGGCAAGGCAGTGTATACAGGGAGGACAGGTAATGATTCTGTGGCATCTTGCTGCACTGATGGACAGTGACTGTAGTGGGGTGTGTGGGGGGACTTGATAATAGGGGAAGTCTAGTAACCGTAATGTTGTTCAAGTAATTGTACATTAATGATATCAAAATAAAAAAATAAATCTTTGTATATTACATATATTTTAAATGTAAATTTATTATATTTATATATGTACATATATAAATTGTAAATTATATTTATAAATGATTCTAAGAAGTATGTATTTTATTTCTGAATTTATAAAGTTTAGTAAAATGCTTGTTAACTTTCAAAATCTACTTTTTTATTTAATAATCTTATTACTAATATTTATTTATAATGTTGTCTATCTCTCTAGGTCACTCATTTTGCCTTGGTATAATAAGCCACTGTGAACATACCATGCTTTTTTCATCTATTCTCACTTGGGTAAGCATTTGGGTTGCCTTCACTATATTTTTTATAACTCTCAGTTTTAGCAGTTTCATGATATTCCATCAATTTCCTTAATCAGTTCTCTATTTTTATTCAGTTGCAAACAATATTTTGCTCTATTGATCAAGGTTGAAGTGAGCAGCCTTATACTAACAGATTTTCTAGACCATATATTATACCTTAACTAACTAGAAATGGAATTATTAGGTCAATGTATATGAACATAATAGATATTTCCAATGTATATTCTTAATGAATAGCTCCATCAGCAATTGTATGATCACTAGATTGCCTGAAGCACAGTTTTCTCCAGTTTTTGTTCTTAATTTAAGATAGTTACGTTTTGCTTGTAGTACTCACTGACTTCATTCAGTCAATATTGGCATATTATAGAACTTCAGGTCTGGTACCTTATCTTCTGATCAGGTAATTTTTCATTTGGTGGACACAAAGGTAAGACATTAAGAGTGAAATCATGACTCTTAACCTTGTATGAGAGTCTAGTTTGAAATTCTGAATGGAATATATTGTCATGAGCATTGTTTATTCTTACTAGAGTGATTCTCAACTTGCAAGTAATGAAGTTGAAACTCAAAGAAAATAAATAACTTTCCTAAAATTATGTAGTTAATTTTCCATCACAATATATTGCTTCCCAACTGAACAAAAATAAAATAGACATCAGAACTTTTCTTTTTCATTTTGATTGATGTCTTTTCACTCTTCTATAGGATTTATAATCCTGCCCTTACAATATAACAATTGAACATGCCCCTATAGAGTTGCTGTTTCTCATGGGAACAGTCTTTCTTTGCTGATTCTTTCCCCTTGAATCTATCCCTTGTAATGTGTTGCAACAGTGCTCAGCCTCAGCCTTGCTGAGCCCACCTGTCAAAAGTTTGATCTTTCTACACTGGGGACACTTCTTTACCATTACTCTAAGTCAAAGAATTATATTGTCTTGATATCTCATTCTCAACACACCCTTTTTTCATATTCCATATGTTCAATAATATAATAATTACAATTTGTGTGACGTTGTGGCATAAAGTGCATTGTGCTGCTCGTATAATACATATAAATTTCCACTGTGATTCTCATGCCCTAGGAGTAGATCACATTAGTTAGCCAATGGAAACAGTAATAGGGACTTTTTTTTTCAAGCCCACACAGGGTGAGATCACTTGACAGGCACTCACAACACATAGCTGCTCTCTTTTCAGTTACCACAACTACAGACAATTGTCGTTCAGCCCAATTCATCCCTAACAAAGCAAACACATATTTTATTTAACACTTGGTCTTGATGACTAAAGTCAGCAATTTTATTCATCATAACTGCAGGTTTCTACCATTTCCTCTATGCCTATAATCTGTATCTGAATCACCTGATGATTACTCTGCTCCATTCATTTTGCCCACTTTTATAGACAGTTGTCAGTCTTTGAGGCCTTGAGCAAAACTGGACCTTGGATGGGTCATTGATTGTGTGTCCAAATACTGGACAAGTTTGTAAAACATATTCACATTTTTACTTTTTTCATATTTCTCCTGATTTCAGTCTGGAACAATTAGCTTTCCCTAGGTTTTGTTAAAAAGGAGTATGCCCATATATAATGTATATTACTTTCTTTTTCTCCTTCTGATATAGCAATTTCTTTGACTAAAGAGAGATGAATTTCACAGATTTATCAGATAAAAGATTCTTGGCTCCTCTTCCTCAATAACCAAACTGCATACAGAACACAACATTTAGTTACTCTGTTGTTTTAAATACATCATTTCTTTGTAGCCCTGACAGTCTGTGTATTTCCAGGAACACGGGTTTTTTGTGCACAAAAATGGACAAGGAACCCTTTAACACACTCTTCTCAATGATAAGCATATTCTGCACTGTGACACATACGCATTTTCTTAAGGACTTTCCTGTGTTTTACAAACAAGAACTGAAGGTATTCGGTAGATGTGGAATCTGACTTAACCAAAGCTGAAATAACTAACTGAAGTTCAAACAGGCAGTAACTGGCCAGTTTTGTTCAGAACCTTGACCTTTTAACTCTGTCTTTTGCTTTAACATTATGTAAAATATTTTTTTCCTTCAGCTATAAAAAGAAGCTTTAACAGACATTTAAGAATAAATTGTTACCTCTTACTTGTCTTGATATATAAACGCTTGACTGTCAGTGTTAAGCAACAAAATATCAAAAGAAGAAATTCAGTTGTATTAAAATGCAGTCCACAAAAACCTCAACAAGAAATGCAGACCATTTTAACTGGTAAATTTTGGTCGCTGTGAACTTTTTAATGAATTATCTGTTAACTTTGAAATTAGTTGTTTGAATCTTAAAGCATATTTTCCTATTGAAATTGTGGGAATCTGCTGATTATGTTCTTGAGGAAAAGTAGGGGGGGGGGAAGGCTATTTACTGCATAATGGACTTAAACAATGGTAATAAATAATATTACTATTTCAATTACATCACACATTGTTTCAAAAGCAGAAAACATTTAAATCTCCAAACTTTCACACCAGGACTGCTACTTCAAAAGCCAATATGACTAATTCTGGTGGTAGCAGAAGATGCACAAGGAATAGTCCAGGCAGTAGAAAAACTAAAGATGGGAGCCAGTTTCAAAACCAGTATGTTAAGCTTGCATTTCTATATAATAAATTATATTTTTCTATCTGTTTAAAGGATGTTTAACACTGCTCAGGTTCTCTGAAATGAGAAAGAATGAGAAGTTATTCTCTAGCAAGTAGACATCTGAATGTAGCCCATCCCTCATTCCTTGTATAGACCTGCATTGTGTGTAAGAGAGCTAGCTGTCTCTCTGCTGGTGGGACAAGACCCAAGATAATACACAGGAAGGAGTGTAAATTGAGAAGGAAGGAAACATAAGGCAGGTTAAGTGTGGGTAAGGAATATTTTAATTCGTAAAAAGCACACCACTAGTGTCATAGTGAGGAGGAAAAAATATTGAATAATGAGCCATACTCAAGCCATGCCTTTTGTATTTAATTGGGAAAATCTGCTTTGATGCCTGGTTTCCACGCTTCTGAAAGGAGGATTTTAATTCAGTGATTTCTCAATACCTTCCAGCTGTAAAATGCTATCTCATGCTACAAGCATGCATAAACAATACAGTTGTAGAAGAGTCAAACAAGAACTTGGCAGAGGTCTCAAGCTGGAGAGTGTGGGCCTGAGAAGGAAGTGACAGGGTAATGCCAGAGCCCAGCAAAATGAAATAGAGCCCAAGGTAGAGAGTGGGACTTGAAACTGAGGTAGGGGCCACATTCCTCCAGGGTAGCTTTATGACTGAGCTGGTATCAAGTGTCAGAGTATAGAGTTAGACAACTTTAAACATCTCCTTGTCTTTGGTCTGGATTTAGCCTGGAGAATAAGGTGGAAAGAAGGCATCATCATTCATCAGATCATGTTGTGTGATGGTAGAGATTTCCAAAATACTCATATGCTTCTATTTGTCCTTAAAACATCTTTATATTTTTTATTTCCCCTTTCTTCCCATCCCACTGAAAATTACTACCATAGTTAAGTCAGTATTTTTGGTGAAAATAAGTCCTAGTCTTAGGATGACTTGCAAAGATGAAAGTTTCATCTGTAAAACAAGTTTTTTTGTCAAAGTGAGTGCTATGTTTCACCATTTGACCTTGGGAAAGTGGCAATATTGAGAAGGAGGACACTGTACCTCAGCTTCCTCTTCTATAAAATAGGCACATAGTGGAACCTACCCACAGGGTTATTATGAGAGTGAAATGGCAAAAGGTATGTTAGGCATGAAAAAATAGGAAATGCTTAATAAATTATCACTTGCTATTATTATTTTTTTAGCTATTTCATTGATTTAAATAATCCTTTTTAGATTATAGAATAAAGAAGAGGTGCTTAAATAAGATACATATGCTACTTGTTCTAGTAAATATTAAACTTCAAAAGAAAAGTTAACACTATTACTCAAAGTGTCCTTGGGAGTGATCTATAAAGTAAGCCTAACCATTCTGTTTCAGGTCCTCACTAACTCAGATAATCAAGATTTTCATTTAAAGTAAAAATTGTTTTAAAGATTTAAAGTAAAATTGATATCAAATTATGAAGTATTGTGTGAACACACTGCAAATATTGAGGACTGAAAAGATGATTCAGTAATTATATCATTTTTACCTGATACTGTTAAATAGATTTTGAACACTTTGAAGTTATTTTGCATTATTATTTTTTTAAATTCCTTAATGCATAAGCTGCGTACATATGGCATTGTTACTCTCACAGAGAAACAGTTACTATTCACTTTTTTATGAAAGTACTTTGAAAGTTGAAGGTAATGTATGATCATAATAAAGTGCCAAACAAGGAAGTGATAGACTTTCTTCTATGGTAAATTCTGAACACTCTAATCTGTAAACAAATGACACTAATTTTGTGACACTAGTTTCTGGAGTCTAATTGGAAAGTAGAAAGCTTCAAATGAGATTATTTATGTGTTTCTAGAATACCCTTACAAGCAGATATCTTAGGGTATCTGAGAAAAAAGAGACAGTGCTTTCCCATGAATAAATTCTAATCTGCCTTCTAATACAGCATATGTACCAAAGGAGAGCTCATTGGCTCTCATTCTTTGATTTTTCTCTTGATTTCAACTACTCTTTTCTAATCGTGTACATAAAAAAAGGAGGGAAGGTAGAGTTGAAGCAGATTGACCAAATATCCATGTGGTATTTTTTTTTAAATAAATGCAGCAAAAATTGTGATATATATTAACTTTTTAAAAAACTGAAGTCATGCCTCTTGATCCTCACTCAACAAAAAAACTGTTAATCTCACATTTTGAGGACAATTTCATAGAAGCAATGGCTTGGAAGAGGTAGAAATTTTAAATGAAAGAAATGAATTCCTTTTATGCTTTCATGGAACAAGGTGAATGAGAGGCATGAATGTGAGACAACTGTTCAGATTTGATTAAGTACACCTCTAGATAAT